GTCAAGGTGGAAGGACCCGTGTGTCTGTGTCTCGGTTTCTTTTCTCTGATTGCTGAGACAAAATACCCAACGCCCACAATGAAGGAAGAAAAAGTTTATTTAGCTTACAGTTTGTGGAGCTTTCAGTCCACACTTGGCTGGTTCCGAGGCAGAGTGGCACATGGCAGAGGGCAAAGGTTCATGGCGGTGGTAGATAGCAAATTCAGCAAGTGCAAAAAGGGAGGAATGGCAGCAAGCAGCCTCTTTTTTTCTCTTACATATGCAAAACTATCCACCTCAGGGCAGGTGTAGCTCTCACACCCATAACCAGTCAAACTCTAAAAGCCTACCCCATGACTGCATGAGGCTTTGGGAGGACACCCAGACACAAACCATAGCAGTCTGTCACAGATGAGTGGATACACAGTGCTACATACACAACGGAAAGATTTTCAGCCTTAGGAAGCAAGGAACTGCTAACCTAAGCTACACCATACATGGACCTCGAGGACACCATGCTGGGTACAAAGGACAGATACAGCGATGCCACCATGTGAGGTGTCAAGGGTAGTCTGGTCCACAGAGAAAGAAGGCAGGAGGCAGCAGCCAGGAGTCAGAGTTAGCATTTAACGGCATGGAGTATCTGTAAGGGGTGATCAGGCAGTGGTGAAGGCGGCACAATGGGAAAGTACTTTACCTTAGTGCTGCTGATTTATACACAGAAAGTGGTTAAATGGTAAATTTATGTTGTATGTGTTTTACTTCTAAAATTTTTTAATTGGCTTTAATTTTGGACCCAATCCACTTATTCAAATCCTGCATCAGCCTACCTGCACCTGCCTGTGCTGTGGGCACCTGCGGGTCTTGGGCAGAAGGCTGTGCTCCAGTATGTGGGAGGCCACCTGAGTCTGCTTCAAGCTGAGCACTGGTCAGTCCCCAATGTCCTGGGAAACACTGGGCTTTCCTGTGACCTTTATGGCCTCCCTACGACCTTCCTGGGCTCTTTACTGTAATCTTCCTTGTCCACCCTGTGACCTTCCCCTTGTTGCTCACTGCTCCCAGACTGAGGCTGATGGGTACTGCCTGTGGGGGCCCTGAGTCCCCAGGCCAGGCCTTGGTGATGTGAGCAGCAGGTGCTGGGTAGACACCAGGTATCCTCTCCCTGGGCTTTGGGTCCTGTCCACAGAATAACAATGTGGGAACCCAGGCACGGACACTGTGCTCCCAGCATGAGGTTCCCACATGTGAGAGGATAGGAGCAGACAGGTGTGGGCAGGAGCAGACAGGTGTGGGTAGGAGGGGACAGGTGTGGGCAGGAGCATACAGGAAGGGACAAGAGCAAAGAGGTGCAGGCAAGAGAGAACAGGTGGCACAAATGTGGGCAGGAGAGGATAGATGCGGGCAGGAGTGAGCAGATGGAGACTACAGCGGGCAGGTGCAGAATTTGTGTGCGCCTTACCTCAGGGTGCTCTGTGGCAACCCATCCCCCTTGGATGTCCCCAGTGCACCTGTGGTGCTGTTGGCTCGCAGCATGACCTGACCATATGATCCCAGAGTTGACCAGCAGAGGGCGCTCCCAACACACATGCTGGTGGTGCGTTTTGGAAGGAACCGGTTCTGGACTGTCTGGGGTGCCCTGCTGGGGCACAGTGGCTCCCTCTTTATTTCTCCATCGGAGGAACCTTGTCTTTAGAGAAGCCAACAATTCAAGACGCCCTGTGTGGAACTGAAGTAGTGGAGACCCCAGACAGAAGCTATGTGATTTGGGGCATGGCTTTGAGCCAGAGGCTTCTCCACATAAAACACACATTTGTCAGCATGACTGTGTATGTATCCCATGTGTGTACGAACATGTGTGCACATATGTGCTCACACATACCTGTGGGAGTGCATGTGGGTGTGTCTGTATGTTCACACATACATGCTTTGTGCCTGTGTACATGTGTCCGTGTGCGTGCCTCTGCACATTTGTGCTCACATATTCCTATGGAAGTGCACGTATGCCTGCGTATAACGTGATGTGTGCGTCTGCACACCCACATGCACGCGCGTGTGTGCACCTGTGTGCGCATATGTGTGCTTCTGAATGTCTGTGTGAGTGTGCCCACATGTGACAACACAAATGTGCACATTCTTTTTGTGTGTGTGTCAACAAAGGTTGGCCTGACCTGTGGAGCACAGGGTCAGGGTGGGACAGGAGCTGGGGATGCTCAGGTCCTGTGGAGCTGGCCTGTAAGAGCAGCAGGACATGTGACACCGGTCACTGCGCAGGGCATGGGCGACTGCATTCCAGAAGACTTCCTGGAGGTGCTGGCCCCAGTCACGCAGGTCAGCCTGCTGGCCCTGAGCAGCCTGTGGCCCAGGCAGGTGTCTGGGCTCCTCCGCCAGGCCTGGCCCCTGAAGGGCCCCTCCTGCCGTGGCGTCTGCCTGGTTGCCCTGATTCTCCACGTGTGAGCAGCAGCCCTTCCGGAAGCACATTGGCGGGGGGGGATCTGATTACATCCTGGAGTACGACCTCGCTAATGCAATCAGGAAGTGTTCCCGGGCTCCAGCTGCAGTGCTGGTAGTGGGTGTCATGCTGCTGGGCCACAGCTTGCACCAGGCAGGAGGTGCCCAAGACCCTGCAGCCAGCTGGTCCCTGGGGAGGAGCCGCTCAGCCTCCTGTCCTTCCCTGGCTCTGAATCTATTCAGAATCTCTGAGTCTTCGTCTGGCTGGAGAGAACAGTCAGCAATGAGGAGTCAGCATTTGGAGAAGTCTCCAGAACGCAGCTGTTTCCCATCAAGGTCAGGCTCTTACTTGAAACTTTTAAGAGAAGGCTTTCGGGGAGAGCCCAGGGCTTCTCCGCACTATGGAGAGACACCAGAGCCCAGGGTGTGTTAGTGTCCGGACTGCCCAGCAGCATCACTGACTGGCCAAGGGGACAGGTGGCTGGGAGGCATGGGGCCGCCTTGTCAGGCTCTGGGGTCCTCTTCTTCCCAGGAGAGCTGGGGGGCAGGGCACTGCAGGCAGGATTCCCTTGTGGTAGAGTTGGGGAGTAGAGAGGAGGAAGTCTGGAGCTCTCAGGGCACCCGGGAGGACCTCCTCCACTGTGTCTGGTGGCCAGCGTGTCCCTGTGCCCCTTGTCCTGTGGGTCCCGTTTGAGCTGGCTTGTGGGGCCTGGCAGCACCTTGTGAATAGAGTAGACAGAGGAAGGCCCCTGTGGATGTCACCTGTTCCCAGGAGGGCTTTGGGGAACCTGGGCTCCAGACTGAGGACCCAGACAGGCAGAACCCACCATGGCCACAGCCGTGCACCACAGGGCTTAAGGATGTGGGGACAGGGACGGGGGAGATGCTGTCCACGACCCAAGTGCTGGTTCCTCTGACTCAGACCCCGTGAGCTAGGACCTGATATCCCTATCTCTATGTGTGACATTTGCAGGCTCCTGCTGAGGGCCAGGTGCAGGGGCAATGTACCACCTGGTCTAAGGAAACCTTACCTGAGTCCTGCATCTGGAGCACCATGTTGCAGGAGTCTGTGTGCCACCAGGTCCCAAGAATAGTCTTGCCACTCACTCCTGGAGACAGGAGGACCACAGTGTCCAAGAGGCTCCATGACAGGCGACTGGACCCCATCCATGGGCCATGCTGTATGAGGGTAGGGAGAACGGGCCAGCTCTATGGGACCAACAACCATGACATTGAAGGTGCTGCCTCTGCCCCCAGCCTGGTCCAGCCCTGTGGTGTCCCCTGCCGGTGTTATCGAGGCCCCTGCCTGCTGCCTTCCTGTCCCTTTACTCCTCATGTTAGTGCCCGTCACTCAACCGGGTCAAACAGCTGCGTCTCGCTGGTTGGGAAGAGGGTGGGCCCCCTAGAGAACATCAGAGACTCAGCAATGCCCTCAGGATCTTTATTGGAACCAACATCCCAGGAACAGGCTCAGAATTTCCTGAGAGGTGGTAATAGCTCTGTCCTGGCTTCCTCTTGCCTTGGCCTCTGGGAGGCTCTGGCCGGCTCTGGGCTGGATGCCACCTTCCTGGGGTCCCTGGAGCAGCCGGGCCCCACCCTGGCCTACAGCCTGGGTCTGGTCCACTCCTTGCACTGTGCCCGCCCCTGGGGGAGGCTGGGCCCTCAGGACAGGATGAGGAAGCCACGTGGGGTGTGGCTGGAGAGCACAGCAGGGATGGGCTTCAGGGCGGCGCCTGGGTCTGTGTTGGGCTTCATCCCACACAGGAAGTCAGGAAGCTGGAGCATAGAGACAGGCAAGGCGGGGCTGAGGAGGTGCTGCCATCGGATGAGGCTCCGGGGATGAGCAGGACCTGCCGGCCCGTTCTTCATCCCCTCCTGATGTCTGCTCGGCCCTCTGCACCAGGCTCAACCTTTGGGTGGCTTTGCCCTCCATCCTGTCCCCTGCACCCCGCTGCTGTCCCTAGCCTCTGTGCAGGACCCCTGAGGCCAGGTGCCATGAGGGCTCTGCGTCTCTCTGGGATCCAGATGAGGATGCTAGGTGGGGTGCACAGGGCAGTGTTGGGGTGCAGATGGGTACAGGGATGCAGCAGTCCTGTGCGTGAGTCACTCCCGAAGTCGCCTGCATCTTCATCTGGGGACACTACTGTCTTCTTCCCCACAGGCTGGAGGCAGCCAGGAAAGCACTTTCCCTTTGTCAGCCTGAGAAAGCCTCACTGGGCAGCAGCAGGGAGATTTACTGTCCTGTCAGTGAGGCCATTGCTCACCAGACAGGAGGAGACGCGAGGCCATCCTGCCAGGCAGCGTCGCAGGAGGAATTAAATCATCTGGGAATATCCTCGTCCTCAGTGTCACCATGGCCTCCCTGCTCGCATGTCACTGTCACAGCTCTGGCGGCCCCTGGGCTGGATATGCCCTTAGGCAATGACAGGGACGGAGGGCCAGTGTCCTTCAGGATGACAGAGACATCCTGGTGGGTGCATGGTGGCCAGTGGGAGGGGTGACCTCTTGCCATTCAGCGCTGCCACAGGTGGCTGGGGAGGAGGGGAGGGTCCTTGAAGGATGCCTTCACCTGTCCCCAGGGAGCGTGACCCCGTGGGATCCCTATACCTTCCAGCTCAGCCACCAGGAGCTGGGCTCCAGGAGAGGAAGTGTCAGTGGTCCCATGGATGCCCTGAAGGCACAGCTCATCCCCAGAGGTTGACTCCTTAGCTGCCTCCTTGTCCAGGGCCCCCTGCTTCTGTCCTCTCTCTATAGGTGGCGCTGTATCACTAGACCCCTCCCGAGCTCTGCCACCAGGACCAGGTGGAGAGGTGGGGTGGACAACCATCAGGGCTAGGCACAGTCACGAGGAGAGACAGAGGGTGCCATCATGGTCACAGCGGGGACAATGGATGAAGGTGAGCTTCATGTGTGCCCTTGGGCTCTTTGAGGAGGCTGCTGGACCAGTGAGGAGGTAGCCGCGGTCCCCAGGGCTTGCTGGGGGCATGGGGCTGTGTCTACGGCTTTACACAGCCAGGTGCTGAGGCAAGAGTCTGGACAGACAGAGCCCCCAGGCTGTTGAGGCCCTGGCTGCCTCTCCCTTCCCTGGGGGTTGTGAACAGTTGTGCAAGTGTGAGTGTGCTTGTGTGGTTCATCCCACAATGGACAGGGTGACAGGCGAGGCTTGGATGGGAGCGTGCATGGTGACAGGGTGGGCTGTGAGGACCAGGTGGGGACAAGGCCCCTCTCCAGAATGCTGGATGTGGCTTTGAGTTGTGAGGCGGCACTGGGGAAGGCTGGGGAGAGGACGGAGCTTGTGTGTCACAGGCCATGGTGGCCACCTCTCACCAGACCCCACAGAGCACACAGCCATTTAGGGACACCGTGGAGGACCCAGGTGCCTGGGGATACAGTAGCCAGGTAGGGGTGAACCCTCCACTCACAGCAGACACTCACGGCAGAGCCAGCCAGGGAGACGGGGATGGAAAGCAGCGGATGGGCCGGACTGGTGGACAGCATGGAGTCCGCACCTGCACGTGACGTGTGGGTGTGACACTCGTGCCCCCAACTCTGCTCTCACTGTGAGGAAGCCCCTGCAACACCAAGGATGCCCACAGGATCCGCTGTCTGATCGCAGCGCTCTGACGGGTCCGAGCCAGAACATCTGGAGCGTGGTAGGTAGCAGTAGCCAGAGAAGAGGAGATGCCAGGAGACACAAAGACGCAGGCCCAGTGACACAGGGAGTAGCGTGGACGCAGCACCAGAGGGGACCGTGCGACCCGCCGTGCAGGGTGGAGAGTGAGACAGGAGGAAACCCAGGGAGCCCCACGTCCAGCAGCAGAGGCGGGGGTGCAGAGAGTGAGGGGTGCAGGGCAAGGGAGGGGCCGGGTCCTCAGGACCAGGGCGGGGTGCGGCTCTGGGGTTGGGCCAGACCCAGGTATGTGTGGGTGGGGCTTTAAGGTGCTGAGCCCCTTCCACCCAGACAGGAGGCGGGGTGTGTGTGTGTGTGTGTGTGTGTGTGTGTGTGTGTGTGGCCTCAAGATTTGCCTGAAAATGGGGCTCGGAGGAGGCCGAACGTCTTGTGTGTGTTCAAGGTGCCAGCTGGGGTTCCCATGTGTCCCTGTTCACAGCCAAGTTTCCGTACATGGGGAGAGAACACCACACGCACGCCCTTGACAGTTTCCCACCGTCTGCGCCGTCCGCACCGTCCCAGTCGCTCATTTTTCTTTTGACTTGGAAGGAACAGGGGATAAAGAGAGGCTGAAGCCCTTTGGCCTCTCCTCTGAGGGGCCCAGAGTTTTCATTTGCTGTGATAACGTAGGTGCAGTCCTGCTCAGTTTATCAAATCCCAGGACAGTCTGGGGGTCACCACTCCTCCACACCAGCAGTAGGGACGCCCCATGGCTGTCTCTGTCTCTCTCAGTGTTGTGTTCCTGTCCGTCACCGTGACAGAAGTCAGCTTCCTTCCTCCTCCTGTGTGTCGGAGAGGAGACGGAGGACACATGGAAGCATCGCAAGTGTCTGTTCGGGGTAATTTCTCTCTGCATCCCACTGCAGTGCCTTGTGGATAACAGTGAGACATAGAACCAAAGTGCAAAGTTGCTGCTCTTGTTCATCTTCACCGGAGTGACGCAGCCACGCTGGCCATTGCTGGACACGTTCATGGTAGAGGACAGAAAAGAGAATCACATGTTCTCTCGTACAGAGACACCAGATCCAGAGGAGCAAGAGCAGGACAGGGTCCCCAAGGCTGGCCAGGGCACAAAGTCACAGCTGGGCTGGTGGGAGCCTGGGCTCCATGCACAGAGGAGGCTGTGGTTGATAATAGGTGCTGTATTTCAATTGCTAGAAAAAGGATTCCAAGGTTTTCACCAAAGGGAAATGGAGCATAGTTGAGGTGTCTCACAAAGAGCGACACTTACGTGTCAGTGCAAAACTGTATTATGCTCAGACCTCACCCTGCAGTGAGGGCGGTGTGCATTTGGTTTCCCCCTTGATGGAAGGCTGCCCTGACAGGACTGTTGGACCCAGCAAAAGCTCACAGGAAAAACACCTGTACTCCATGTCTGGCCCTGTGTGTTTGGGAGAGAACATCAGGCATGGCCTATTCACCTGGGCTGGGGCTGGGGACCTGGGCACCCTGATTGCTCACAGCCAATGAGTTCTTGCCTGGTCCAGCCCCACCCCCCCCACTGTCCCATTAACCCAGAACCCGCTTTCTTCTGCAGGTGATGGTATCTTTGAAAGATGCCCCATGGAGGCAGCATCCGGGGCCACAGTGTGCAAAGCGCTGGTTCCAGGCCCAGGCTGAAGGGAGTCCAACGGCTGTGTGGGAACCCAGACCACTCACAGCTCAGGGCTGCGGCTGCTTCTGGAATGGACAGAGACTGGAGTCTCCATCTCTGTCTCCCCTCCTTCCGTCCTTTTCTCCTTTTTCCATCATTAGCTGGAGTAATGCAGCGAGGAGAAGCCTCTCAGTGCTGACCGCCGACCTTGGGAAGGAAATGCGTCTCCCTGTTTCTTGGAAAGGGTGTGGAGCGAGTCTGGGCAGCCAGCTGAGCTGCCCAGCCCCCTGGGAGGAGTGGCTTTGGCCAGGCAGGCGGGCACTGAGGGCACAGAGGGTGCTGCCTGGGTTATGGAGCCCCCAGCCTGCTGGGCGCCACCCCAGGGGCAGCCCCTCTGCCCAAGGCCCATCGTCCCCTGTCACCCCCTGCCTCTCCCTCCCTCCGTAAAGCTGCGGCTTCCGTGCTGAGTCACCCTGGCTGGGGTGCCGGGAGGAGGAGAAGGACGGGGGCTGGCACCATTCCGGGAGGGCTGTGTTGAGCCACAGACAACAGACGGGAAACAGCACCCAAAGGCGCGGAAAAGCTGCTTGGGCAGAGGGTCCAGCTTCACAGCTGGGCAGCTCTGAGCACACTGGACTGTGACACGGGGACAGATGTGGGGTGATACATGAAGGTCACAGCTGGACAAAAAGGCCCAACCAGAGAAAGGGCCAGGGCACGAGGGAGGGAGGCGGTATCAGAGGCAGCAGGACAGGGTGAACCCTTGCTTCTATTTTGCCGACTGAGTAAGCTGGGCCAGACATTCATGTGACCTTGTGTGTACACACATGAGCCTGCTGCATGTTCAGAGCGAGATGTGAAGAAAAGCACAATCGCACAGCCTAGGCCGGCTGATCCTTGCACACATACAGTTCCTCCTGCAGGAGGTGCCCCGGGTTCACACCTCAGTGTGCTCCGCTCTGCCACCACCTGGGCAGGATGGCGCCCTCCTCTGCCTCTATAATGGCAGTGTTCCCACATCACCCCGACATGGGGCCCTGGTGGCCCAGCCCCACGTGCTCAGACTTGAGCACGGGACAAAAGGCAAAGCATTTTACAGGAGAATGTGCAGTGCCAACGCTGGGTGCCCAAGCTGCTCTTGCAGCCAGGTCAGACCATTTCCCCTGACCCGGTCTCCTCCATCCCCTTGTTCCCTGCCAGACACCCTGTCCTGACTCTTGTGGCGATGTCCCTGTCTTCTGAGTTGTTGCTGTCACCCTGGGTGTGCCCTTGGCGACAGTCTCTCTGTGGGGTTCTGGCTCCATCCACTGAGTCTGTGTGGCCGTGCTCCACGTCACTGCTGTGAACCTGCTTCCCACCACACGTGTGCCATGGTCCACACAAGCATCCTCATCCTCCCTGTCTTGATGGCTCTCCGCCCTGCCTGTGTCCCCCAGGCCCACCTACCTCAGGATCGCAGCAGGACGGCTGGAGCTTGGGAAGAAACAGCACATGAGAGAGCAGCAGATGAACACCTTTGTCCTTCCAAGTGTTCAAACCATGGAAAACGAGGCATTTCCTTCTCAGCACAGCCTCGGCATTCTCTTGGTTTGGGTTTACTCATGGATGCAAAAACTGCTCACAAAAGTGCGTGAACCTGTCTGGCAACCTGAGTGGCGGTGGAGGATGATGGTGCCCAGCTATGGTCCCTCCGCATCTTCTTGTCCTGTGTGGTCGCCCTGCAGCCTGGCTTTTGTTCTCCAAGAGGGACAGGCGGGAGATCCTGGCAGGGACCCAGGGCTGCCAGATCTTTGCAGAATCAAGGACTTACTTTCCCGACCAGGACTCACTCCAATTCTGCTAGTGATGTGAGAGAGAAAGAAGTTTTAGGCTAAAGAATGGAGGCAGCAGACCCTGCTTTTTCCGCAGTCCTTCTAATTAATAACAAATAATGATGTAATGACATTTGTGTGCTCACTGTGCAGGGCACTTGCATAAGCATTACAGACAACAGACCCTTGCTTGTCCTCAACGCATCCTGACACTGACTCTCTTAGTATGTCTTTTTAGTTTATCTGATTCACAGAGCCGGCATCTTGCTCGAAGAGGTCACCAGCTGGGTGAGTGGTGGGGATACAGCAAACCCACTCCTCTCTTAACTGAGACAACAGGGAGTGACATTCAGGTGTGTGCGGTTGTAATAAAAAATGACCCCCAGCTAGTATACTTCATTTTGTTAGTTGCCCAGGTAATAGTTCCTGTTACAGTTCCGGTTGCTCCTGTCTGTTAGAAACAGCTGGTCTAACTGTGATGCATAGCTGGTCACCGTGAGGCATGTTGTATAAACCAACCCCCAACTGACAAGCAATTTTACTTCTGTACTTCCTGCTTGCTTACTTCGTGTAAGCCCTAGATCACCAGAGATCAGGGCCTGATATTTTGAGGAGCAATTGATTCCTAATCAGTGCCCATCCTCTGTTAAATAAATCTTCCAAATCCTAGGTGTCGTTTCGGTGTTTCTGCTTGCCGTTGCACAGTCTTAGCTCTAAGTGTGAACATTTGCTTCCAGTGCCCAAGCTGTGGGTGCCCCTGGGCTGCCGTCATGCACTGGCTTTCGGATGAGCAGGTTGGTCCTCGAGTGCCCTTCACCCAGTGGCTGATTACTTCCACCACCCCACATAGCCCTGCCTGGGCGTTCACCCTGTCTCCCAAAGCAAGGACATTCTCTCCTATAACCACAGAATCGCTATCTAGCTCAACACCCATCCCTTTGGGGCTGTCGTGTAGAAGGTGTTCTGTTTGAGTCTGATTTATTTTGTGATTAGATTTGGAGCAGTGCTGCTGTCTTCCTCAGGACGTCCTCGGGAGCTGCCTGTCCCATTCCTTATGTGTCACCCTTGAGTCAGTATCCAGGCTGTCTGCCAGGTTTTTCCATTCCAAAGGTGCCTTTTCTCTCCTTCAAGTTTATACATAATCCACACAAACCTCCACTCCCCAGCCAGCTCCCTGTGATGCTCTGAGTCCCAGGACTGAGCTCACTGCAGCAGAGTCAACCGTGAGGCTATGAATGGCACTTGTCCAGCTCAGTTCGTCCTTTGTAAAGGAGTCCACCCACCCACCCACCCCTTTATTACCGGCTCTGTGCCTCTGTGCCTTCTATTTTTATACACCGAGTGTCAGGACTGTTTTCATGCTCTGATGACTTCAGGACGGCCAGCGGCAGCATCTTCAAGCTGCATCCCATGTCCTTCGTGAAGTCCTCGTTCTTTCTCAAAGACATTCCAGGCACCACTAATTGTCCCAGGCTCACCATGTGTGTGTTAGTCAGGGCTCTCCAAAGCATTGGAACCATAGGGCAAAAGCACGTGTTTGTATGTGGAGATTCGCCATGGGAATCGGGCACACAGTCACAGGGGCGGAGAAGTCTGAGGCCAGAGAGCCAGGAGCGCCACACAAGGCAGCAGAGAGAGAGGCGAGGGCTCACCCTTCTCTCCTGTTTATGCTGTTGGAATGGGAGAGGTCCACCCACCCTGAACGGGGCACCGTGCAAATGTTCATCTCTTACAGAAACACCCTCACAGACACACCCAGAAACAATACTTTGTCTGCTTTCTTGGTGTCTTTGTCCACTTTTCATGGCTAAGAATTTACCACCATGTGCTGGGGAAGTTGCAAAGAGGTTTACTTTGGCTACAGTTCTGGTCCAAGGCTGAGGGGTCACATCGGGTTATGTCTGTGCTGGTAGAGTCCCAAGGTGATACTGGGCATCTCATCATGAGAGACACTGAGTGTGCAGGAGACCTGGCCACTGTCGAGAGGACCCATCAAGCCCAAGTCCATCCATCACAGGGTGGGTTAAACCATTCATGAGTTGTTCTGTCCTGGCTGCCTTGATGTCCTGAATGAATTAAAACATTTCCCTTTTATGGTCATTTTAACTTTGGGGAAGAGCCAGAAATTGCATGGTACCAGATCCAGTGAGTAAGGTGGATGAGCACACAGCATCATGTGTTTACGAGCCTGCCTTTCTGTTGAATGACACTCAGTAGCAACATTCATCATATTTGTGATCACATGTCATAAAGACACTCATGAAAGAGGACTTCCAGAGCTTCTGCAGAAAGTGGAAAGAATGATGGGATCAGTGTGTTCAAAGCAAGGGGAGATTTGGAGGGGGATTCAAGGTGTGTCTTTTACCGTAATACATTTTTAAAACTTCAAGCATTCACTGTATATTTTGATTATACTTCGTGTGTATATGTAAATATATACACATATATTTGCCCCCATAATTTTGTATTTTGTTCTTTATCCATTTGGATTTGAACTTTGTTAGTAGTTTTAAATAGACATTTGATTCTATCATTCTTGATTCTACAGTTTTGTAGCGTGACCAACCCAATTTTCCTAACATCCTCTACTGAACTCAAATTATTTATTTCAGCTATAGACACACCGTTCTGTCTCTGAGGTCTCTGTTCTGTTCCTTCGGCCTCTTTGCATGCACTTACATCATACCATGCAGTTTTTATTTTTTGCTGCATGTCTTAATGTCTATCTGTGGACGGACATAGTGCCCTTCCTCTCTTGTTCTTTTCTGCTTCCTGAAGTGGCCCCAGACTACTCCTTTAATCCTTAGCCATCCCTCAGGTCTATCGTCCTTCCCTTGTCCCATGTTGTGCGTGTCACACACAATGCTGCCTTGAATAGCCTGCGCAACCTCACACGTGTGAAAGGGTTACTGCTCGATCAACAGCCCCAGTTGGAATTTGGGGTCAAAGGGCTTCTGAATTTCTATGTCTGATAGTTAAATTGCACTGTGTCAGAGTGGGCAATTTACAATAAACTAGCTGTGTCCAAGTCCCTGATGTCCTGGCCTCAAACAAAAAATCAGAACTCAAAAAATTTTGCACTCTAGTAAGTGAAAACTAGTTGTTAGTGTATTTTAACTTTTCTTGATATGGGTAAAGGTGAACATCTCTTCAGAGTTTGTTATATTTTTAATGGGTTTTCTATTTAACACATTTATACACCCGAAAACACGAATTTCTGGTCTTATTCATGTCACTCCTGGGAGCTCTTTGTACACAGGAGATTCATGCTCATGAGACACAACGTTTCCCCAAGATTGTCGTTGGTCTCTTTACTGATATAGTAAAGGATGTTTTTTGCAATATGGATTTTAAAAATTCAGCTATGATCACATTGACAAATCTTTTCATCCATGAATTTTAGATTTGAGCACACATAGTGCTTTCTCTCCTTCAAATTTTTCGGAACAGAGTCTTATAATGTTTTCTTCAAGAAATGTTTGTGCCCAGTTTTTGATGTTGTAACATTTTGGCCTACTTGGAATTCATTCTGGTTTAAGGGGTCAAGTATAAATATACTACTTTGTTCAAGGTGCTACCAAATTGTCACATCATTTGTCAAGAAATCTTCAGGTCCCTTCAACTTTTGGGCCAGTGCGAATAATGCTGCTACAAGCATGTGTGGCAGTCTTGTATGGAGATATGTTTAACTCTCTTGGGTCTATAGCTAGGTAGGAGTGGAACGACTGGGTCATATACTAATTCTGTCGTTAGCATTTTAAGAAACCACTGTACTGTTTTCTAAAGGGGCTGTTCTGTTTCACGTTCTGTCAGGAACTCACAAGAGTCTGAACTTCTCCACAGTCTCACTGGCGCTGCTGTTGTCTCTCCTCTTTATGGTCACCATTCTAGAGAAAGTAGTGTTATTTTACATTTCCCAGTGACAGATGATGTGAACATTTTTTATGTGTTTATTGACCATTTGTGTATCTCTGGAGGTATACAAATCTTTCATCTATTTTGAAAATTAGGCTGTTTGTCTTTCTTGAGTTGTTAATTTCTTTCTAATTATTATTTTCATGCTAAAAGCTATGAATTTTAGTATTAATTTTGCTCTCTACTAGTCTAGTAATTTTTCTTCTTGTACTTTTTCATTATCTTGGATTTCTCAGGTATACAATCATATTATCTACAAATAGTGATAATTTCTCTTTGCATTTTCTACTTCTCATTTATTTCTCTTATCTAATTGCATTAGCTAGTACTGCCAATAAAATGTTAAATAACAATAGCAATGTAAACATTCTCCTCATGTTTATGGCATGTGATATTTAACTGTGGTATCAATTTGAATAAGAAATGCTTAGCAGATTGGTTTTGTACAGTTCTGGATATATCTGAATGACGATGGAAGACCCATCCTGGGCATAGGATTGGAGCCTGGATGGAATTTAAAAGGGAGAGAAGAAGAAAGTCTCACTTTGGCTTGTTCAGAGGTGTCCCCACCTTCACCATCGCCTTGGGCATCCTTATCTCTGCTTCCAGTGCAGACCCTTTACCTTGTTGATTGGCCTCACACAGGACTTTACAGTGAACTCCAGGCACTGGATTTCTGACTGGATCCATCAGATCCCCAGTATGCAGATCACTCTTTTGAACTCTTCCACACCTGCCTGCAGGCAACCATTGTAAACCTACTTTAAAAAGTTCTTTAAAAAAATAAAGAAATCCTTTACATATCGTATAATTTTATATTAAATCTATCCCTGTAATGAACCCTACCTGATACACGACACTAGGGAGAATCCTCTTGGTGATATAATTTGGGGGCTGAGATAAATCTATACTTACCATGTTTTTGTTTTTGTTTTTGGTCTTTTTGAGACAGGGTCTTGCTATGTAGTTCAGGCTGGCCTTGAGCTCACTTTGTAGCACAGGCTCGTCTCACACTCACAACAATTCTCCTGCCTCAGCCTCCCAAGTCTTGGGATTATAGGCATGCACCACCACACCCAGCCTTTACCATGTTATGAAGTATTAATCTACTACTGATTCATTTAAAATATTAAAATCAAGGCCGTATTTAAAATTGTTATGGTCTATAAAGGTAAGCATATTATTTTTCTTTTCAGAGCCATTTATTTCATGAGTTATGTTAATTTCCTAATCATATTCCTCCCTCTTATTCATGGAATAAATTCTGCTTGGCATAGTCATAACAAATACATTCTTATTTTAATGCACTATTGTAGACTTTGGGATATCTTATTTAGTTTTTATTTAGGATTTTAAAATTAGACCCTGGACTATACAGTCTCTGTTTTGTGAGTAAACTCTGCCAACATTCCATGTTTCATGAATTTCTTAGAAAAAATTTGGAAGTTTTCCCCATTTTTAAGACCTTGTAATAGTTTGAAGACATTGAATATGTCTGCTATTTATTAAAGACTATGTAAATTCCCTTACAAGATTATCCGAGGCTACTCTGGAGAATAGTTCATTGACGACTACATTCGCCTGCTGGGACTGCTGCAATGAACAGTCCAAACTGAGTGCCCCCAGCTGGGGAAGGTCTGGCTGGCCTCTCTCCCGGCTCCTGCAGGCCAGCTCTCGCCCCTGCACGCCTTCTCCCCTCAGTGAGAACCAGGCCACCCTGCTTCAATGTGGCTTCACCCGGAA